TTATGCATTTATTTATTTACAATGTATATAAGTTAAAAAAAAATAAGCAAACTTATTTTCACACAGGAAACAGATGTTCATAGTAGTTTGAGATTTTATTTATTTTTTGTACATGATTTTTATTTTTTTTAAAGAAAAGAGTAGATTAGATGTTTGATTTATGATTGTTTATTTATCTTTATCTTTAATTAATAAATCTAAAATTGTTGCATTTAATCGTCAAGTATGTTGCTAGACATTATTCAGACAGGGCTTGTTTTCCTTTATTGATTTTAATTGCAGTAACAGCGTTTGCTAAGTCAACACCCACACTCCCTTATATCATAGCTAACTGTTCAGGATAGACAATAATCAATAGCCTTCATATGTAACACAAATATCCGTCTTTAGGCTTATTCTGAATGCGGAGACCTCCACCTTGCTGCCCTTTAGCTGATGTAACGAGTCAAAGATGGACGAGCAGCTTAATGAAACGTCCTTCTGGAGTTAATTAATTTGTCAGTTACGGCTCATGATGAAAAGGGCGAAGAGGCTTCACGGAGGACTTAATGAAAAACAGCTAAATGCAGAAAAAAAAGCAGTTTTAAAGTGCAACAGTTAAAAAAGCGCCGCTGAAAATAAAAATGCTCTTACTGCGGGTGTTTATTTTGGTTCAACTCCAGTCAATGAGATGATTTGTCGACGGTAACGAAGCCGACTGAAGGTCACAAACAGAGCCGAGCGATGTTTTAATTAAATTGAATATAATGTGGGACTTTTGCGTCTCAGTAATGCGAAACATCCGACTCTGGTGTCTTTCTGCACTCGCAGTTCAGTGACACAAACGTCTGAGCTCTTCTTCCAGCTCAGCTCAGTTAATAATTAATGAATATATCCAAACACTGCTGCAACACCAGCCTTTCATGACGACGTGGTGAGCAGCAGCCACGGAGCAGATTTGCATTAATTTGAAGTCATTTTTCTGCTCGTGCGACGATTTACTGTCATTCCAACGTCTCGGAGAGAAACATCTGTTGATTTGCTCAGTGCTTTAGAGTTTTTTAGAGCTGGTTTTCCCAGAAAATGCACCTGCACAAATGCACAAAAATAGTAAACATGACGAGCAGAAAGCCATCAAGAGACACTGAAACACTTCGTAGAGTTTAGGGGGAAACTTATGCATGTGATCAGTCTCTTTGAGTTCAGATAAACCCGTTTTTAGCGTTTTATTTGTCTACATTTAGGTGTGAGACACTGTGTTTCCAGTATCTTTTGTATACATTGCTGTTAACATATTCTCACTTCCTGTCTTTGGTTAAAAACAGACATTTTTCTCATGGGTTGGTGGAAGAAACATTGGTCCTCATCCTCCAACCAAAGACTACGGAAGAAACAGAAGATTTTATCACAACAAAGTGTTTGATTTCAGTCAATATGGAGAAAATTGTCGCAAGACCAGGACAAGAAAGACCTGATTCGAGTTCTTCTGCCACTTAGCATCCAAAAGCGACATCTTATAAAACCCCTAAAGACTGCTTCGAGGTCTTGTTGGTGAGTTATTCTCAGGTCATGGTTATTCTGGTAAATTAATCATAGCAGCTGGATTTGCTTGAGTTCCTTGAAGACGTTCCACCTCTCATCCAAGAGGCTTCATCAGGTCTGACTGACTAGTTGGGAGTTCCACATACTGATATCCTTAAGGAGCCATTAACACCTGAAACCGAAACTCAGGTGTTAATGTTCTCTTCCAAAGCGTGTCTGGGCTCATCAATTCAAATTTCGTCATCCACCAAAGTCTACATGTAACCAAAACTGTGTGATCATGTGGACTCATGAGGTCCGCTTTCAAAGTCCAAATCAAAGACGCATGAAGAAATAAGATGATTCAGGAGGATCTCTTGACTTTGAAAGGAGTCGGCCGTGGTTGTTGGGCATTGGATGCTTCTCTGACTCTTCCCAGATGAGGTTCTTCAGGTATGGCCAAGTTGTGCAGACCCAGACAAGCTGGAGATATAATGGGTGTGTTCCAGTAGCCATACTACACAGTTTTAGCCTCAATATGTTGTGGATAAACTGTAGTTTGCCAGAAATACCTGGATGTTCTACTACATCTTGTTGGGTTTTGCAGTCTGCAAGCTAGTATGTCTTTCTGGCCCACAAAACTCCAAGAGACAGATGACATTTCATATTGCAGACTGCAATGATCACACTTTAAGGGGGTTGTTCCAACTCAATTCACCACATGGCTCCCACATGACCATTTTGGATTGGATTAAAAAAAACAAATTAAAGAAGAATTATCATCAAGATGGCACAATCCCAAGTTTTAAGGTCATAACGGTGATAGTTTTTTGTGACAAAAAATAATTAAGAATTCATTTTTTGTCAAATTTGTGATCCTAACTTTGGATGACAAACTCTCAAAGACGTATTTAAGGCATTTACTTCAAATTTGAGACCACATTCCCCGTATGCTAGAGGTGTTTAAATCCTACATTACAGATAGCTCAATGCAAGGAAATATCAACACCCGAGACCATCTTTGTACGCCCATAAAACATACATGATTTAAAGCAGAAGTCTGACTTTTTTGTGTGACATAGTCCAATGTGGGGTGTTTCAATACACCAAATTCATGAAGATGAAAATTATAGCCTTTGAGATATTGACCCCTAAAAATGGGAAGTATCGCAATTTTACTCAGTTGTTCGCACCAATTGCCAATGAACGAGAGGTCACACCAACACATATTGGGGTAATTTGAAAGAGAGTGCTCATAATCTGTCTTTTTTTTGGTTTTCCTCAACAAATGTTTGGAAAAGAAATGAAAAAACTACGACAGTTACGAACCTAAAACCTGGGATTATACCATCTTGATGATAAATCTCCATCCTCAAGCTTTTTCAACCCAATCCAAGAAGGTTAGGGCTGGACTAGATGTTCTGAAATCTGGAGAACTGAGGTGGAATGACCCAACGGACAACATTATGAAGATGTGATATGTCTCAGTCGTGTCTTTCTAAAGGGAGCTGCTGTATGTATTTAAAGCAAAAAGTAAGTATGTTTCTAATGCAGCTTGTCCGTCTGCTGACTTCTCAGTATTTCAACCCAGATAAGTGTTGAAAAACAGAACGAAATAACTGACCTTTCAAGATAATCTAACACGGCTGCATCCAGCCAACGGTAGCAGGTGATTTTAGGGATATCAGCCAGAACGAATGGGGGGAGAAAAGTGCTATTTTCAGGAAAGCGTCCAAGTCAGGAGACCTGGAAGTCGAATGTCTCCCCAGTTCCTCGTTAAGTGCTTAAAACCGGAAACCCTCCATCAGAGCGGCTCGGGGAGCTCGCCGGCCTTTCAGCTCCGCAGGATGTTTGGAGAAATTCCCCTCAGTCAGATCAATGCTGCTGCGCTTTTTATTAAATACAGCTGGAATACAGAACGTCCTGCACCGCTGCCAAGAAGCTTTTTTTCTTCTTCTTCCCTCCTCTCTCCTGCACCGTCGGGCTCTTTTCTGCTTGTCTTCACCTCATTGACAGCAGACAGAAGCCAGAGGAGGGACGTGACACCAAACATTCATCTCCCTTTCCGTCTGTCAGCGCCGCCTCTCGCTGCAGCACCTGTTGGGCTGCGTTGGGCCGCCGCCGCCGCCACCTGCACCACGCCTCACCTACAGCAGCTCTGCATCGACTTCTCTTGTTTCGCTCTTTAACGGGGCGCTCAGGACAGAAAAAGAAAAGTTTGCTTCTGGAAATAGCTTCACTGACGCAGAAGTGAGTGAGTCAGGAGCAAGTTTAGCTTCAGTGGAATAAGTTAACGATGCGTTTTGAGTCCATGACGTCACTGTGTCTGCTCTAGAGGAGGCTTTTGTCATGTTTGAAATCAAAGCAGTCTGCATCAGTGGTTCGCTTTGTGGATGTTTTCATCTCACTTTCTGGAGTATTTTAACACCAGCTGTATAGATTGTTTGGTGAAATGTGCGGTCTTGCACTCATTTTCACTCTTTTTTTCAAAATTAGATCACACCATTCAGTGGAGTAATAAAAATAATAACCCTAAAACTGTCAAAAACCCAAATAGTAACAAGAATAAAAGCATAAATATTACGTTAAATTT